ATGTGCTTTTAAAAAGTTATCATTTTAGTTTCTATATGCAAAATTTTACCACAAACTTTATACCAAGGAAAATACTTTAATACAAATTTATGATTACTTATCTAAAAACTTTTTAGACTTAGTAAGTGAAGTATTAAGAAAATTTTTTTATTGAAATAAATGAGATAAAAATTAAAATGAAGGACTAAAATAGTCACTTTGTAAAGGTAAAACAGTTGTGGATCGAGAATTTTCGTTTAACGAGCTTCACTTAAAGTAGAAATGATTAATAATGGGTTTCCTTGAGTACCCTAACTCTCACTTTTTACTTTAGACGATGTAGCTTAACAACAGGAAGATGGAAAAGGAAAAAGAGAGTATTTACAAGAATTTGAAGATAAAAGATGAGCAAAATATGCTAACAAAAGTAGACTCTTTACATTTACAACAACTACTATTGCGATGTAAACTTTCTAAAAAATAGCAATGGTTCATTTATTATTATTATTATTATTATTATTATTATTATTATTATTATTATTATTATTTTTGAAGGTTTTGTGTGGAAGATGATAGGTCTAATTTGCCTAAGTTAAAAATGGGGTTTAACGATTGTGTTTTTAAAAAAAACATTGTTGATGTAAGATTATGCCGAACTATCGAAGGTCGGCCATGTGGCAATGAGGATAAGAAACAAACAAATTTAAATGGTATAAAATAATAATTACCTTGTATATGGTAAAAGATTCATAGTAAATAGAAATTTAAATGGTATAAAATAATAATAAAGTAATTCGTATTATAATTTCCGCTAAATATAGTAAATGCACCGAAAAACAAGCAAAATAAAAAATTACAATGGCATGTCAGTAAGAAAACATGAAATATATAATAAGAAAGAATGGGCAAAAATATTAGAAGTTAAATCAAGACAAAAATCTAGAAAGAGTCTCCTTATAATACATAATTGATTCAAAAAGAAATATAATATCTCAAAACAATTCAATTTTAATTTATAATAAAACAAAAGTCAGTTAATTGATAGATATTAAGGTTGGGATTTATGCCACAGGCCTCTTAATTAATAAATATTTTATTATTTATTTAAAAAATAATTATTTATCTATTTTAATTTTATACAATATTTACTATCAATTTTTATGATGATAAAAGGTTATAAACGTAATCTTGAACAATATGTATATAAAATGGTCGTCTTCAAGTCATAACCCAAATAATCTATAGTAGGAGTAAACATAGAAGACCAAAGAATCGATCAGACCGACTAAAATCAATTGAATAGACGTCGATCGGTCAATTTGATAGGTCAGCGTCGGTTTTAAAAAAAAAAAAGAGTCATGATCAGTCGGTTTGGTCAAAAATCACTTTTTTGACCAATCGACCATTTATTTTAGTTAAAAAAAAATAGACGGCAATTAATTCAGTCTGTCGTTCTGTTGTCGTCTAGGACTACAACAGCATTGAAAATAGGAATGTTCATAGGGTGGGGAAGGTTTTACCGTCCCATCCTTGCCACCCATTTAATTCCCCACGAAATTTTGCGGGGAATAGGGTGGGGATTCTCTGTGGGAATTTTTCTTCATTTATTTTTTTATTTTTTAAATTATTTGTCAATAAAAATTCTTTTCTTAAAGAATTTTTTATTTAATTGTTTAATTTCTAAGGTCTAATGCTCTCAAAAAAAAGAAAAATATATATATATATATATTAGATGGATGGGCAAAGAAGAATGCAGGTGTATATATAAAGAGGATAATATAATTATTTTAGTGTGTGTATATATAGATATTAAAAAAATGATGAGGGACGAGGAACGGGAACATTCTCCCTGTCCTCATCTCCATTTAGGTGGTGGGGAAAATTTTTTCCTCATCTCCGCCCTATTTAGGCGGGTCTCACGGTGATCGGGCCCCATGGAAAAAATGAACATCCTTGATTGAAAACCATTTGAGGGCTTTTTTTAATTAATTTTTTTTAATTATCTTTATTTTTTTAGTTTTGTTCATCTTTCTTTTCCTTGTTCTCTCATTTTCTCTCTCCTCTCTCCTCTCTCCTCTCTCCTCTCTCCTCCATTCTTTTTTTCTCTTCATCTCTCCCCTCCATTATTTTCTTTTCTTCTTCCACTTCCTAGCGCTGCAGCTCACTCCACGACTCGACTGTTGGAATAAACACTTAATTTTATGGACCAATTATCCCTTCTTGTGTGAACCTAGTAGGAAATATATAGCAAGTAAAAATAATAATTCAAACAAGTACGGGACACAAACAAATTTTAACGTAGAAAAACCCCTCAATGTGAGGAGTAAAAAACCATGAGCTGAAGTCAAAATCTCCACTATAATTAATAATGGGTTACACCAAGTTCTCCCTAGCAACAACTAAAGGCATACAATAATAATATTTCGAGACAATAAATCTCGGCAAACAAAGGGAATAAACTGGGAGAAGAAAATTAGAAAGATCTCACTCGAAAGTGGAACCAACTACCCACTGTATCTAACTGTGGGCAGCTCCAGAAGAAATCTCCACCGTCCAGATTGAAGACCCTCGTGTTATGAACACGCTGTCAAAATTTCACCTCGTCGGACCACGGATCGACCTCCAATCGTGCAAAAAACCATTCTATACGGAAGCTTTTCTTTTCTCTTTTTCTTTTCTGTTTTTCTTTCCTCGACTGCGTGCACCTACTTTTCCCTTCTCTCTCCTAATTAACATACGCTGCACATATAGGTTAATATATATATATATAATTCTAAAAGTAATGGCCCATTTGAGCCTAAAATTGTTGGGCTTTCACACATGTGAAAATACTTAACAAATCTCCACATTTTCACTGTGTGAAAGAAATTGTCATCCCAATAACATAACGACAAAACTTCAGCTTTTCTCTTGGTAGATTTTTTGTCAACATATCAGATCCATTACGATCAGTATGTATCTTCTCAACTTCAAACAGTCAATCATAAGGAAATACCTGCAAGTAGTGGCACCACCCGCTAGTTGTCAGGGGCGTACACCCTCCTCGGCAGACGTCGTACTGCATGGTGCGCACCTGCCACCATAATCGTCATCTTTCCTAGTCGACCTTCCAAGCCTATATAAAGGACTCTCACCTTCACCAATTAAGTAGGTGAAAAACATGTCACAAATATTAAGTGTCTTTTCCTATTTTCTACTTCGATCAATGACTTGAGCGTTCGAGGTTATTAGACATGACACTGCACCGACGTCGAGTTTTTTGGTTGCAGACTCATTTGCTTTCCGGCGAAGCTACTCGTCCAAAGGACATGTTGACCTCTCCAAAATTTACCGTCAACAACGTTATATATTGTAAACGATTCCCAGTAAATATATATAGTAAATGCACCGCGAAACAAGCAAAATAAAAAATTACAATTGCATGGTCAGTAAGAAACCATGATATATATCGTAAGAAAAAATTGGCAAAAATATTAAAAGTTAAATCAAGACAAAAATCTAGAAAGAGTCTCCTTATAATACATAACTGATTCAAAAAGAAATATAATATCTCAAAACAATTCAATTTTAATTTATAATAAAACAAAATTCAGTTAATTGATAGACATTAAGGTTGGGATTTATGCCTTGCGCCTCTTAATTAATAAATATTTTATTATTTATTTAAAAATTAATTATTTAATTATTTTAATTATATATATTTATTATCTATTTTTATGAAAATCTAAAATCATAAATGTAATCTCGAAGTTACTTGACATACACGAGGATCGTCTCCAAGTTATAACTTAGTTTATAGTAGGGATGAACATAGGAGACCAAAAAATCGATCACGACGTCAGTCGATCGGTTTGATAAAAGTTTCGATCGGAGTCGATTTAAAAAAAAAAAAAGAA